ATTTCCACTAGCATAAACACCACCAAATGTTTAAAACAAATCTTTTAGGACAGTAAAAGTCCTTGATCAGTGTCCGCCCTAGTGTCTAAACAGAGGCATTACACATCGAAATGCACATTTATTCACATTAATATGAATTTATAATTAATAATAAATTAATCATTAATAAACAAAATGTCTCCTCTATTTTTGTCAATTTTTATGGACATATGAATTAAATGAAAATAAAAAGAAAATTAAAAAAATAATGAACACACCAAAACAGACAATTGTTATTGTACAGTTAATATTTATATATTTTAAAATATAATAGACTATGCAGTGTTTCCCACAGACTTGCACTCTATTTGTGGCGGCATGTAAATACAAATTCATTCTCTGCCAGCAGGAGGCGCTTGAAGAGCAGGAGAGATAGAGGTTTCCCCGGTAACGGCTGCACACAAAGCAGCGCTCAGCTCACAAACGCTGCTTTATCAGGCATTACATGCAAGATGATATGAAAATGACATCCAAAATTTTCTGAAGACAGTCGGATTCCTTTATAAATACAGTGATATAAAAACACCCGCAGCGGGTTTCGATTTTGAAACGTGCAGTGCTCATGTTTATTCAACGAAGTCAAAGCCTTTTGGAAAATCTATTTGTGGAGGTTCTCATATTGTGGCGGACCGCCACAAATAAATCAATGTATGGGAAACACTGCTATGATCTTAACTGTTGTATTTTTAATTTACCAGGGTGAATAGGGAGATTTGTTGGCTTTTTTTTTTTTTTACCTTGAGCTCTCACTGATGTCAGTACTGTGAGTGTTAGGAGAGCGGCCGCTGCCAAACGCCTGAGCGACATCTTCACTCCAGTATCAGCAGAACATCAATCAATCTGAAAAATCAACCAAATTACACACACGTTGCTCATGAATCAATCCGAAAAAAGACTATACACTCAACTCCAGCACAGTTCACTTCACTGCAAGAGATCTCATTCAAATCTGATTTTAATAAAAAAATGTATTCAAAATTCCAGCTGTTTCTATGGCCAAGAGAGGAAAAATTGGTTTTCCATGGTTAATAGTCCAAATATTTTGGAAAATATTCATAAAACAAGGACGCTAATAAAATAACTCACTGTGGGTCTTAGAAAAACATTCCCTACAGCATTTTAATGGCAAAACATTTATAAACTGCACATGCTGTAAGTAATCTGCTTATTCATCTGTTTAACATCGGAAACTGTGAGTTCATAGACTGTATGCAATTGTCTGGAAATTTGCCTGATTTTAGGATCCTACACATCAGGAGTGGAAAACTTTTTCTGCAGGGTTCCTGCGCCCCCTGTTGTGCCGGGAAACATTCAGACTTCACATCCTGATATTCATGCTGAGAGCAACTCACCACTCTGCCTCTAAACTTTGGCAATGTACTTGGTCTCTATGTTACATATATTGCATGCTACTTTGAATAATTACCAATGTAAGAACAAGCAGCTCACAAAATATTTGCACAATAGGTACATGTTGTTCATTAATATTACTCAGTAATAGTTTTCACTCTGCAAAACTCATTTCAAGCAGTGTGATGTGATGTACTTAATCTAAAACTACACTACTCAACATTTTCCCAGTCATTATATGACCCCATATTAATTGAGAGACTACATCTGCACTTTAAAAAGGCATTTGTCACACAGCATAACCATTTTGGACCAACTAGGGCAAAAGGTTATTCAAATAATGAAGAAAGAAAAAAAACATACAGGAACTTGTGTAATTATGTCTTATGCAAATGTTTAGCTTAAAAGGTAATCATTTTTTTAAATAAATAAAACAAATAAAAAAGGTGAAAGGACATGTGTGAGCCAAACCTTTAACAACACATTGTGCCTATAATACATCTTGGGTTTGGTTTTGTAATAGCCTAAGAAATGAAAGTAAAGTAAATTTGAATGAATAATCAAACATAAGTCTTAAAAGCCTCTTCATATGGTGAAAACAGGTAAAGTGGGATACTTTTTGATCATTTTTTATTGCCGTTATTTTAAAATATGATGCCAGATAGACTTAGCACATCACAGAAAACCTTCATCATGTTTATATAAGATCTCCAACCACACTGTAGAGAGAAAGGAGCTACTTTGCCAGAAGTCCCACTTTACCTGTATTATTTAAGTGAATTAGGTAAATAAACTTTAAATAACTCAGCAAAGAAAGTTCTAGAGGTTTCATGAATCTTACAAGTGGTCTAGATTTCCCAAGAAAACAAAATAAATCTGTTTCATCCCAATCTAGTTTAAAAGAGCACAATGACAGTGATGGAAAAAATGAAATCACCATACAGCGTCTATGGAAAAAGTGATCAGAGCTGCTGAAAATGGGTCAGTGTGCGCACATTCATGATTTCACATCACATCTATCTACTACGTCTCAAATTTATGAGCAATATCATCTTCCTCCACAAATATGTATAAAGAGGTTAATCAATAAACGAACAAAAAAACTCCACGCGAGCACTTACCAAACTCCCCAAGGTTTCCAAAAACTTTCAATACATCACAAAATTGGTGAATGAAGATGGGAAATTCGCCCAGATGCAAAGGGGTTTTAAAGCTCTGTTCAGAAAGACAGAGGTTCTCCGTGATGCTGCAGTGATGGAGATGAAGAGGAGGGTCTGGTCACCCCACAGCTCCTGAAGGCTGTTTCCAAATGCACGGGATCTCAGACTAGAACGTGCTTCTTAACAGGGGGCTGATCCCGAACCCCGAGCTCTGACGTTCATTTTGAACGAATCTTTAATGTGACTCGGGAAGAACGAGTCGTCTCGGGGAGTGACTCGTTCCGTCACGCATGCGCAACATCCTATAGGTGCTGCACTGGAATTAGTCAAGCAGTTCAACTGGTTCGAGTCTTCGGGTTTATCGAGTCGTTCACGCATGCGCAACATCCTATAGGTGCTGCACTGGAATTAGTCAAGCAGTTCAACTGGTTCGAGTCTTCGGGTTTATCGAGTCGTTCGTTCATCACGTGACAGCCCCATACGCTTTAACCAATGCAGTCTGAGCCGGAAAGAATACAGACTCCTGACGACATTCAAAAGGAATCGCTAATGCGGGACTATTTATATAGCCATTGCGGACACATAAGACAATGAAACAACTCAATTACAATGTTAGGGTGTTACAAATAACTAACAAAGCAATTAAACGATGACTTTCATGTGGGAGAACCTTTTCAAATGAATTTCTGTCGGTCATTTTCGGAGCGCAAACTGAGGCGATTCGTCTCGCGTGGCAACAAAAAATATTTTACTGTGTTCCTAGCAGTTATTAACCCAAATGACAACTATAGCAAAACAAAATAAAATTTGTATATACAATTCTACATGTAAATACATAATGTCTTGATCAATATTTACACTTATGTTTATGAGGTATCGCCCAACGGTCCCAACGAAAAGCGCGCCAGCGGTAACTATGGTAACATCTTCACGCCAACTCACTAATTGAGACAATAACGAACTTTTGTGGTTGATTAAACGTGTTAAATAATATTTCAATAAGTATTTTTTTTCTCTCTCTCTGTGATATTATCTCGGTTGGAAAATCAAGCTTATAAGCCTGTTGCTGTGGGGGGTTTTTTTGTTTTTTTTTGGGAACATCTTAGCTGTTTTTTAGCTGGACTGGACCATAACGACAACATTTTTTTTTGTAAATAAATAAAATATTTTTAAAAAACGATTACATTTTACACACAGATATCAGGATTTGAGTAACTGTGTCCAGCAATAGAAAACAGAAGCATTAAACCAAATTGTCCAAATTGTAACCTGTAATGGGGCTTTTTAGTTTTTTAAAATTTTTATTTAATTTTATGTACTTGTAACATCGAAAGTATCTGTACCGTTGACAGATGAATTTCAGCTCGTAGATCAGTTTTTCAACAATGCATTTCCATTTATTTGAATATGTAGGCCTCTAGTGGTCAAATCGGGTAACACCCAAAGCAGATGGAGATGTTCAACAGAACTTCTGAATCAAAACGCTCATTCCCTCCCACCTGTAATGGGGCTTTTTAGTTTTTTTTTTATTTGTATTTAATTTTATGTACTTGTAACATCGAAAGTATCTGTACCGTTGACAGATGAATTTCAGCTCGTAGATCAGTTTTTCAACAATGCATTTCCATTTATTTGAATATGTAGGCCTCTAGTGGTCAAATCGGGTAACACCCAAAGCAGATGGAGATGTTCAACAGAACTTCTGAATCAAAACGCTCATTCCCTCCCAAACTACATCATTGATCTAATTATTAAATCATAAAAGAAGAGTTTTCTGTGATGAATAAATATTTTGCCATTTAGAAACACATGGGTGCCAACTGGGAGTCAGGGTAGAGTTAGATTTTTGATCATTAAGTTTATTAATTTGTTTCAGCCGAGTTCAGGACTGTTTTTAATTTGATCATTATCTCATAATTCTCATTGTTTTGAAGTACAAAAAGAAAGTGCACATTGCTGTTGGTTTCTTGGGAACCGTTGAAGACATCCAAAAAACACAGTATCAAAAACATGCTGCGTCGTGAGTCACAAACACGCCTCATCAATTAACACTTAACTTCAGACATTATGTACACTTCTAGAAGGAAAAACACAGTTGTTTGTTTTCTTCATGTTCTTTATGAGAAGAGTATTATCACATAATTAAAATATTATTCGCAGGAGAGGCCTACAATCAGAAGACAAACAACTAAACTACATCAATAACCAGAATTAAAGACGATTCTTATGAAAAATCATCTTAGAAATGTCATAAAAAAAAAGTTTTGCATACAGAATATTATTACTTTAGGATGCACTGTGCATTAATTTTCTTTATGCAAAATGTAGATTTCTTTCCTTTTGATTTTGGGGTCTTTTAAAAGAAGAAAACTTACACAAAGAAAATGAATGGGCAAGACTCCTAATATAATTTTCTTTATGCAATTTTTTATTTCCTTTTAATAATAATAATAATGAGTAAAGTGCAACAATCAGGATTTGTCTGTTAAAGACAGGCACCGTTTCTTTTATTCAAATCAATTTGGTCCCTTTTACCTTCCAAATTAAGGAATAAATATATTTTACGCTCATAACGTCACATTTCCACAGAAATGAGGGCAGGAGCTGACATCAGTCCTTCTTCTGAGGGAGAGCTGCCTTTACTAGTTCATATATGACATATGCAGTTCCTGAAAAGTGACATATAAATGATCAGCAATTAAGAGTTTACCATGATTATTAACTCAAAAAAATATCACATCAAATAATGCGGCTTGTACAAATAAGAATGTGCCATATATAGACATTGGATGTGTGCACTAGTAGCAAGCAACTACCCAGCATGCACAGCACCCTCACAAACACACAATAACATGACCTAAGCAACCATGTACTGCAGTAATTACCCATAACACCCTGCAGTAACAAACCTAGTACTGTGAGACCCATAGTTGCATGGTAAAGAACAGCGTCACCGACTCCTCCCTTCAGATGAACCGGAATCCCATTGGCCTCCTAAATATGAAACATAAATCAACATTTTGATAAGCACCTATAAAACATGATAAAACAAACGTGTGTACAAAACAATAAGATCGGAGCACAATATGCACTGTTAGGCCTTTAGGGAGAACGCAAATTATTAGTAAAGATATTATGGGTCAAGTACATTAGTTTATCATTTAAGAGATGACAATATATTACAGAAAAGTGACAAGCATACCTGAAAGAGTTTCTGTTTGTCCGGCACATTGTTGACCAGCTGTCTGCGGACGGTGCTGGAGATCTGCCGTCTGGAAACCTGCTGCAGAGTCTCATGGAGAACACAGTTTGACAAAAATATTTAAAAGTACTGTAAAGAATAACCTTACATTTTTTGATAACAAATATTCAGAATATACAGAGTTTTACAGTGATGTAAACCATGAATTTGTTTTAAATAATTTTGAAAATGTGTGTTTCAGTAGTTTAACGCATGAATCATTTGGTCTAATTACATTATACCATTCCACTCCACCATTCAAAAGATTGGGGTCAGTATTATTTATTTATTTATGATTATTTTATTAGTCTCTTCTGCTCACCCAGGCTGAATTTATTTGATTCAAAATACAGTAAAACAGTAATATTGTGAAATATTATTACAATTTAAAACAAACCGTTTTAATTTATTTTACAGTGCATGTCACAATGACAACAAAAACTGAAGACTAGTGATCAAAGATAACATGAAGTGAATCACAGATCAAATACCATAATCATACTTCCCCCCCCCCCCTTCCACAGTCAGAGACCTTTATCTTCATTTAATACCACTTTTCATTTATGTTCACATAACCCAGAAAATGCCTGAATGTCATTCATTAGATCAAGTGTTGTATCCGAGGACCTTTTCTCCTCACTAGCTTTCACTTTTCTCATTTTTGCTCAATGATTTCGAAATCAGCTCATCAGCTGTATCAAGTTCACTCAGGTGGAGGACTTTCAGACATTATAAGGGTGGCCAAATTTCAGAAACAATTCACAGAAACACCACAGACTGTAGGTTTACACAGAAAGGGGAAATATAAATCATATAAAACATTACATTACAATTAACAGCCCTTAAATGAACACAAACCCCAGCAGAAGAAAAAAAACCAGCAGAAAAGCTGCTATTTAAATCATTTAAATATATTATCGTCATGATTTCATTGATTGTAGACGTGCAAAACCTCAGACTCCTCATGACTTCCCCCGCCTCAGACTCCTCGATTTATAACCGTAACATCTGATCTGAAACCAAAGCGAACGCGTGATCAATGATTTATAAAGAAGCACCATGCATTATCACTCTTAAACTGAAACGGAATAGTTTTAATAATTACCAGAAAGTGTCGAAACATTTTCAGCGTGAGTGAGTGACTGAAGTCACGAAACAATAAAAAAAGGTCACGAAGCAGCGTCGAGGGAAACGCCTCCGCCTGCTGTTCAGGAGAGCAACTGCACTGATGTTTCATCCGGGTCAGACACTGTCCTAGAAACGTTTCTTCACTGACACATGATGAAAAATAAAAATCATACTGCTAGAGGGGAAATTAGCAAATCGAGGCACACTGAGCACAACACAAGCATGCCATTTTTGCATACTGTCTAATGAATGAATAAATGCATGAATGAATGCTTTATTCATTAAAGGGATAGTTCACCCAAAAATGACAATTCTGTCATTAATTACTCACCCTCGTGTTGTTCCAAACCCGTAAGACCTTCGTTCATCTTCGGAACACAATTTAAGATATTTTTGATTAAATCTGAGGGCTCTCTGACCCTCCCATAGACAGCAAGGTAACTACCACGATCAAGGTCCAGAAAAGTACCAAGATGATCGACAGAGTAGTCCGTGTGACATCAGTGGTTCAACTGTAAAGTTACGAAGCTACGAGAATACTTTTTTGCAGAAAGAAAACAAAAATAACGACTTTATTCCACATTTTCGTGTCTACTGCGTCACTTGATGACGCGCGTTCACCACAGTATCATGACGCGAGCGTGTGGCGGCGCCGGCGCTGACCCAGACCTGGCGTGATGATGTCATTACGCCGGATCTGGGTCAGCGCCGCCACACGCTAGCGTCATGATAGCCCCCTTGTCCAAATACCCACACTTGAGGTCTTGGCCACTTGAGAGCGCGTGCGCGCGACAGGAAGCAAGTGCGCAAGACTGTCCCAGGTCTTAAAAACGCCAGAGCGCAGTGCCCTTAACGCACACTAAACCCACACTATCTCAAATACCGCTCCGGAGCGCTATTCGATGCTTAGTGTATCCCATCATGCATCATGTTCTGGAAATAAATCGTGAGACTTTTTGCCGAGATCTCGCGAGAGGTCACGGAAACTTTTCCAATGCAAGTTAAATATTAATATAATAATTAGATATTACATATAATTTGGTAGAAAAGTTGATTGATTTAAAAAAAGTATTTAAAATTAAAATAAAGCTATGTAAACACTTGCATTTTTACAACACTACAAGTGCTACAAGTGTGGTAATGAAAAGTTCGACACACACTTGTGGTCTTCATGCTCACTTGGACACTTGGGCCAAATACAGGAAATACGTCATATAAGTAGTCAAGTGGTCAAGTGCAAAGACC